CCCCCCCCCGTTTTTTTGCTATGGAATTTTGTATTGATTTCCACTTGTTTTAGGAGCTCGTACGGGATCGTTTTATTAATTTAACTACCTTTTATTAGGTTATTTAGATTCTCTTTTTAATTAAAAAAAACATGTCATTTAAGCACACGGGTCAAGGGAATTGACAAAAATGGTATCTTTATTGCAAATCAAAAAGTTTCAAGGAAGGATTACAAAAGAAAGGTTGGTTGAGGTTGGCCGGTGTTTGGGCTTAAGCAACCAAAACTTTGAGAAGCAAAGCTAAGCATCCTCCTTATTGTCTAATCTGCACTGCTCCAGCTTATTGATCAACTTCTCTAGAGGGTTGATAGGGTATCTAGATAGTTCATCGATCTTTGCTTCAAACACTCATTGTTATATATATATATTATTTTATTTTATTTTTTCATTTAGCGTAAAGGCAATAGTTAGCAATTTTTTCTAAAACTTTTAAAAGAGAATTGTATCTATGTAATCCCTCAAAGCTTTGGCAAAAAACTATCTTGCTCACCCTTTCTTTTTTATTTTAGACAAGTGCGATGTCAGATATAAGTTTTTGGTATTGTTCAATTAAAATCGAAATTTTATAGTGATTCATGCAAACTTAAAAAAAAAAAAAAAAAACTAACTAACTATAGATATATCTTTCACGAAAAACATCCATTATCAAATAAAAAAAAGAGAGAGTATATTAACTAGTAAGAACTATAAAACTCTATCAGAATAGTCGATACAACTATGTACTCTTAACTCAAATCATTACGAGTGTGGTTCATACATCCCTTTAAGGCTTACGATTTATAGAAATAAATCTTAGAGAATAATATCAAAAAAAATCTTTATCACACTTTCGTATATCTATTTTCTCCTTTGTTTTTTTTTTTTTTTTTTTTTTTTTTTTTTTTTTTTTTTTAGAAGAACCTAACCAAAGCTTAGGTGGGTGGTGCTTTTTCTTTTTGTTCTGCCATAAAAAAAAAAAAATTCTTTTGGTTGAGAGAAAATAAAATACGAATAACAATGTACTTTTTTGTTTGATTGAATAAAAAGTAAAAATAAAAAAAATTTAATTTTTAAGGACAAAAATTCAAAATTTTCTCTCCTCTGCCTCACTTTCTCTCGACCACTTCAAACACACTTGTTTTTCCATAAATTTCGATAGTTAACATTAGAGCATCTGTAATAGGGTTGCTTATAAGCAACTCCTTGTGCCACATTAGTTCTGACCCACTTTATGGATTGTTTAAATTTTAGCAGAGTTGCTTGTAGAAGCAACTTTGTTAAAATTTAAGCAACTCATAAAGTGGGTCAGAACTGATTTGACAGTGGCACAAGAGTTGCTTATAAGCAACCCTCGTTGGAGATGCTCTTGGAGCAAACATGAGAAGCCATTTTTTCTTCCTATAAAGCTTAATACATATCCTAAGACCTTAACCTAGGTATGGTTCTTTTACAAAGTTCTTTTCTACAAGTGCGTAATCCCATACCCATTTGTATGAAAATGAAAATTGACTAACATGATTTATTTATTTTTTTAATCAAATCTAAGTATTCAACTATTTTTTGGTCCACTGCTTTACTTTTCATGGTGCCGTACATGTCATGTTGAGCTGGTCACTCTCTTTCGAACCAATTTCAAATTTGGATAACAACTTCCAACCGTAGAGGAAGTGGATAAGAACATAGCTTATGGTGGGGCCCATTGGCCTTCTTTTCACAATAAAAAAAAAACAAAACTTTAATACATATTTATGGATACATTGGTATTGTTATTAATATATATTGATTAAATTAATTAAATCTTCATTAGATATAAATATATATTACCAAAATAAATATCTAATTTTGACCCAAAAATAACACCAATCACATCTACAAAATTACATGTAAATTTTGCCCAAAAATAAAACACACATCTATCTAACACAACTGCCCTCAAGAGATCCTAGTAAAAAGAGTAAAAGAAGAGTGCTTCAATGGACCCAAATTCTCATCCTTTTATGTTTAAACATCGAAAAAGAGAAAAAGCTAACCACATTGAATACCCAGCGCAATTTCCGTTGATGTGTTTGGTTGCTTTAATTAGACATCAATGTCCCACCAGTAGTACGACGTATTCATCAATGATTCACAAAACAGCACACAAAACCAACTAAAATAATGATAATCTATACAACAAAGTCGCTAGCTTTGCCTAGAATGTCCTTTTGTTTTTCAAAACATGGGAATGGATAGTACCATGTTGATTTTTTCACATAAATTTTGGTGTTTGCATACCTATTATTGAGAAATATAAAATCACTTTTGGATGTTAAAGATATTGGCATGTTTGGATCCACATTTAGCCAAACAACAACAATTAGTTGCTTTTCTTTTCCGTTAATTGTATATGTGAAACCAACCATACACTATAACTCTTAACTTCTTAAAATTACATCCGAAAAACCACATACATGTGATGTGAGAAACCAAACTCGCTATACATCATATGAAAACTTTGTATCTATCTCTTAAAATGGTAGAAATTGAGGCAGAGTCATATTAAAATCTGTGTAAATTTAAATAAAGATAGACATGAAGTTTTCACATGCTGTGATCATGTGAAAATTCAAAATGAGAGGATCCATTCCCTTTTAAACCACAATAAGAACTAAACTAGCATATGAATAAAAAAAGCCTAATGATTCATGAAGTCCCTATCAATCAACCAAAACAATAAAGCTTAAGCCCCCAAACCCAGAATTTTTCAAATTGGTTGCAAATTGTTCATGAGTGATGAGTGAATAGTGAATACTATTATTATATTCATAGAACTTTTCAAGATCCAATGAGCCGACATTAATTAACTAATAAACAAAGGCTAAAAGGTTTTCAATTGTTTGGTCTCTTTCTGCAGTGGCAATTAAACAAGCTTTTTGGAAATACAAGACATTCCCTTATTCTCTGGCTGCACACACATGTTCATTCATTCACTCATTCATGCCCCTTGAGCCTATTCTTAACTGATTCAACATTCGAGTTGCCTATTGAAGCCTCTTCAGCACCATCAATTGCCTTGCCAAGAGTCTGACTTGGCACCCCCTTTTGGGATTGCTTGGCCTTCTCCTCTGCAACCCTCTCAAATTCTTCAGCTGTAGAAGGTGCCCTCTCTTCCATCAAACGGCTATGCTTTCCCTTGCTTGTTTGGCCATAGTTCTATAACATGTATGTTCATTCACTCAACAAGTAAATAAATCTATCACAGCATTTCATGACCACTATACTATGACACCAAATTAAACATTTTGCATGATTGATTTTGTAACAAACCCATTTGAGTAAAGATTGCATTTTCAAATTCAACAATACAAAGATTTCGCATGGGAATTAGATAAATTGACACACTTTTCAGCCTTAATTTCCACTCCCAACCACAGAATCATGCAAAAAATTTAAAATAAAAATTCCTTGTACACATGCATGTACTCTTCCTCCTCAAACACCTACCAACTCTAATTATTAACACACTCAACTTCAACCAATTTAGGACATAGAGAAATTCAAAAGAATCAAATTAAAACCCAATTTTCCTACCCGGGTCATTCTCAAAAAAGTAAAAATAAAAATAAAAAAATACAGAAAGTCCCTTAGGAAAAACCCTAGTGATTCTACAAGAAAGAACCAATTAGTGATGGAATTGGTAGTACAGAAAGTTAAACAGAAGCAAAGAGAGTAAAGTGAAGGATACCTTAATGGGGTTATAGAGAAGTGGCCTAGAGGGCTTGACAAAAGAAGATCGTGAAGAGGATTGAAGAAGATTGAGGAATTGGGCAGGAGCCATAGATAATGTGTGTGAGTGTGTAATTTGAGTTTCCGAGTTTGAAAGAGAGGATGATGTTGGGAAAAATATTGGAGTTGGGAAGTGGGGACGTGTCTGTAGGTGGAAGCTAATGATAGGCACGTGGAAATGTTGACATGCGACGCTTCATGCAATCCAATAGGACAACATTGCAGACTTTGCAAGAATAGGATATGCCCCCTACAACACACTCTTGCTTTTTTATCCATATCTCAATCCAACTAAATCCTATGAATCCATCTACCTTCCTATACTATATTATATTATATTAAATACTTATAAAAATTGAAAAAACTTTATTATTTATATAATAATTCATACAAAATTATCTTTTACAAAAGAAATACATGCTTATATAAATAATAATAATAATAATAACTGAATAATTTTTTTTTAAAAAAGTAATGACATATTTTCATCCCAACATATTATAAAAAAGAGGACAAATTATATTTGATATATTTTTTTCCTGCCTTGTTGACAATACACAATTTTCCGATTTTCATAAAAATGATATGCAATGCTCTATTTTCGTATAAACTAAGAAAATCTGTGTAGGATAAAAGACTAAAATATCGAGTATTATATGTTAAAAATTAAAAGGTGTACGTTAAGTATCAAAAGACTGTACATCTAATGTTATGATCATAACCTCTAATGATGATAATGAGCAGCCTTGAGGTTTTTTTTTCTTTTCTTATGCTGAATTAAAAATATTGATGTTATTTGAATATTACTTATAATTTCAATTCTATATATATATATATATATAAATTATTAAACACATATTTGTTAGAAAAATAAATATAACTAAATATATCATATATTTGTACAAGATTATGAACTATTTTATTAAAGGTTACTTTATGTTGGGATTATTTTATGATATTCGTCTGAAGGAATATTTTATGAGAATTATTTTTATAAGATTATTTCACATACAACTCTACAATGATAAAATATTATCCGTTTTGAGTTCAAGTTCTCACGATTTTGCTTTTAGTTATCACTCAAAAAACCTTTCAATCATTGAATCTTTCATGTAGTAGAATTTGTTGGTTTTGATACCATTGAGGAGATATTTTATAAGAGTTATTTTTATAAGTATAAGGTTATTTCACACACAACTTCATAATGATGAGATATTGTCCTCTCAAGATTTAAGTCCCACAATTTTATTTTTGGTCATCACCTAAAAGACTTCTCAATCATTAAAATATGTGTATGTTTTATAAGTTATTATTTCTTCTTTTATTTTATCGATGTGATACTTATTTGTATTCCAATACTTTGCTATATAGAAAATGGATCAATGATGGTGATATATAAAAAAAAAGTTTGTAAGGGTTAAAAGAGGTAAGTTTACGATTAGATTTTGAAATTTCAATAAAGAATGAGAGATAACACTTTATGAAATAAAAAAGAGAACAAATGAAATTAGAGAAAAAAAAGAAGAGAAAGTTTAAAATAACTTTTATTCATAACTTCATTAACATCTATGGAGATTTTAAGCGGGGTTAAAAAAATGATATATTACACTTTCCTTTTTTTATATTTAACATTACCACAACTTATTTTCCTTAAATTATGAGCAGACTTTTGTTCAAAAGTGAAAACATTACAAATTAATTGATTAACTATTTGTAATTAATTTATTTTATACAATTTAATTCTTTACTTTTTATTTTTATATTATATAAACTAAATAATAGTTTTTTTGGTACTCTTCCAAAAAAAAAATGGAGCATTGGGCAATTACTCCTCTACACATGTTGTGGGCTGCTACTAATGATGATTAGATATAAATATTGTTCAATCAGTAAAGTGACTAATAAGCAATTATGTAGTTAAATATGCTATATGTTTAACACACATATAAATCTTTAGTAAAAAATTTAATAGCTTTGATAAATATTAATTTATGCAATTCAATTAGTGACCCAATAGTTCAACTAATGACTTATTAACCTAATATCTTAACTGAATTGATGACTAATTCAATTCTAATAACACTGTTAAAAGTTCACATGTGCAAGTTAAAAATCAAGGTCATACATGAGATAGAAAGTATACTTTGTGTAGTACACTAGCACTCTTCAAAATCAAATCCTATATATTAAACACAAATTTCTATTTTGCACAAAAATATTTTTAAGGACTTTTCTTTAATAAGAGTGTTTCTAGAATTTTTTTAATTTCTTGTACAATTAAATTTTTATTTATCATATTTATCTGTGAATTAAATTTTAATTTTTTTAAATAATTTCGACAATAAATTTTTTAAATAATTTTGACAATTTTTTTTTAGAGATTTTCTTAAATTTTTATCCAATTCAATTTATATTTATCATATTTATCTATAAATTAAATTTCAATAATTTTAAAATAAATTATGAATATTTTAAAATATTTTTTATCATAATATAAATTATTTATTATAAACATAAAATATAATTTATATTTTTAAAGTACTTATTTATACAAATTTTAAATATAATTTATATGTCAAATATAATACTTATTTGTATATATAATATATTATGATAATGTTCAACCTGTACATTACAAGCTGAAATACTAATAGTAAGATAAAAGAAATTGTGTTTATACATAATTATTTCACCGACTTGAAGGATTTTCCAAAATAATAATTCTCTAAAAGTTGATCTTGTGTTAAGGCATAATGTTTTTAATGTTGGTTGTTTGAATGCTTCACTATAACATGTAGTCTCTTAATTTAGTTGAGGTAGAATGTTAACTTTAAAGTTTACTTTGAGCCAAATCATATTCTTTTAATTGTGTAAGATGTGTGGCTTTTATCCTTTTCATTATTTCTCATCATTATAGTAGTTTTACTTTTTGGGTAATCAAACATTTAAGTGTGTCTTGTCAATTTCTTTCTTGTCATTTTGCTACTCAAGTTCCTAAACCTTAAACCTTAAATTATTTGTTGTTTCCAAAGTTGTTTTTCAAGCTCTTTGTTTTCTCCTTCACGTTTCCAAAGTTGTTTTCGTACTTGCTATTATTATTTTAGCTTTATTAACTTCAAACTAGTTAACCCTTAAATTATTTGGTGTAAATAATCTTTCAACCTAAAATCAACCAAGTTGTAATTAACACAGTAAATCAAGTTGAATTAATAAGTAATCAATTTAATCTAAAGTAATTGATTATAAAGCAAAATAACTAATTACAATGACATATAATTTTTCTAGGTTGCATGAAATGTTCTAATGTAACCAGTTATAGAACAGAGTAATTGATTACATAAAGTTTTTGAAAAATCAAAACACTCTAATGTAACTAATTACACTACAAGATAATCGATTACATGAGTTTAGGATTTAGTTGTTGAGTTCACGTTGTTGATTTATAAAATGTATTAAGTCTACTACAAATTATGTTATTAGTTATAGGCTCAAATAACTTTTTAGTCTCTGTTAAATAAGGTGTTTTTATTTTTTGTTTCATTTCCATCCTTATCATGAGATTGACAATTAAATCTAATGGAAAAAAAAAGCCAACAAAATTAGTGATCGATATAAGAAAGTGAGAAAATTACAGGGACCAAAATAAAAAAAGAACCAATACAAAAACAACTAAAATTTGAGAGAATTAAGGTGAAAATAACTAAAATTAAGAAAATTTAAACAAAAATAACTATAATTAAAAGGATTAAAATTGAAATAATCTTATTTCACAGGGATTAAAATTCTATTTAAGCTAAGTTTATAAAGTTTAAACTTTAATTTGCATTGTTACAGAGTTAACATCCTAGTTTTTAGTGACCTAAAAACCTTAAATATAAAACTTCATATAAATCTAGTAAAGTTGGAATTACCTTCAAGTTTTTTTTTTTTGTAATATAATCAAATATGATCAACAAGGTTTTCTTAAAACGTGAACGTGACAAATATGATCAACAATAGAAAGAATGAGATATATATTAAACACTAGGGAGACACAACTATGGAGGATGAGACAACCATGATTGAGAAATCTAATCATAGTAAGAGACCCATATTTGACTATTAGGTTACGATCTATTTTAAACAATGGTGAGGCCATCCCAAATGGATCACAATTCAACTTGCAAAATGGAGCATTGCCCAAGTTTGGTGGAGAAAGCCATCACAAAAGCTCCATAATGGTCTCAAAAGAGGCCATCAACACAAACTTTACTTTTCAAGGCCTTGATAGAGGCATGGAAATTCAGCTTCAAGAAACAACATAAACATTGGGGGGTTGCCATCTAATCCTTGCATGTTGGTGCAACAAGGAAAAGCCTAATCTCAATGGCCTAAAAAGGCTTCCAAACAACATAAAACAATAGAAAGCACTAGCTACTTTGGCCACAACAATGGTAGGAAGGGTAGTAGTATCTTCAAATATTAAAGCATTTATAGAATGTTAGATGGCATCCAAGGTGAACCCAAGGATCAACTTCCAATTAACAAAAATATTATCAGGACCTAGGTTGTTATAGATGAACGATCCAAAGTTATTATCATAGGCAAGGAGTTGGCCAAACTTTTGCTTAACATCAAGCCAAACTTTATTGGCATAGTTATAGTTACAATGTATAAAAGTGTGGGGAATGGATTGATTTAAACATTTGGTGTACATGTCAGAATTGGTCATATGTTTGCTGAACCAAAACTCGTTGGTGGCTAACCCTTTCTTCACCAATTTACAAAGAAAAATTTTCACACAATCAAGCCTCAACTAGTTCCAAATAATCCTATAAATAGAATCTGAGGTATTATGGTGACTGAAGTGAATGTTAGACTACAAGAATGAGGGTTGAATTGTTTTGTTCTTTAAAAATTAGTTCTTTACGGAAGTTTGTTCTTTAGAAGGTAAACTTTTGAGTATGTAAATTTGGAGTTTTCTTTCGAAAATAGTTTCTGAGCTAACTTGTTTTATAATCGATTATGTTGTAATGAAATGAAAGATGTAGTAAATAAATAAAACAAGTAAAGAGATAGAATTAGAGAGATTGGACATAGATTTTTATATTGGTTTACCCCAACTTAGCTACATTCAATTCTCATGCAAACTTGTAAAATTTTTACTATCACGGCCAACTACCGTTCAATCACAACTCAACCACTTGCTAATACAAGAATACTACTACACAACCACTTGCAGTTAGTGATACACATTCAACCATTTGCTAAG